ACAGCGTTATCTTTGACAAAAATAAACATCTAATATATACCGGACATAAAAATTAATTTGATAACTGACGTAGAGTGATGGAAATGCGCGACTTTAGCCCCTCTGTCTCTCTCTCTCTGTAAATTATATCCCTTTGAATGCCCGAAAATCGCAAGCTTGGTGTAACGAATGGGCTAAGCTTCCGTAATGAAAACGCTCGATGTTTATACGCGTAACTTATCGCGCTGCTATTTTATGAGAATTACGTGTCTCGCGATATTCAATTACAAACAACACATGGAGCTCCAATATAACGCGGATGTATCATCGATAAATCCATCAAAATTTATGCACGCGCCCGACCTATCCGATCTCTTCCATTGAATTTTAATAAAAGAAAAGTTGATTGCAAATCTGTCAGAGAATGTCGAACATTAAAATATTTTCTGAGAGAATTAGCGCTCTCGACAATTGATAAAATACTATTTGTATTTGCTTTTGTCATTTTTTTAATAAGTAAATGAATGATAAATGAATGACGAGCACGCGGAGATAATTCCGAATGTCTTTGGTGACATTTAATTAAATTTGGTAGCATTAAATTAAATCGCATTAAATTAAAAATGCAAGTAAGATATCCAGCCTAAATTGAACGACGAGACAAGGTGTTCCTTTTTTTTCACGGCAACCGTGTAGACATTCGGCTTCGATCCAGCTTATTGCATTTCAATACGTATGTACATCCGCATGGAAATCGATCCGCGGCAACCGGCGAATCGCTGATAACGTCGCGTGCAATGACGGACGCCCGAGATTCGCAGGATTCGCTTCGTGAGGACGAGAATCCCGAAGGCGACTGTCGGCGCGATATTGAAAATGGAAGCTGGCACTCTCTCTCGCGTGTCATCAGCGCCGTCGACCGCCGATGAAGATGGAGCGGATCGAAGCACCTCTCACCTCTCACCGCGCGACCCGCGAAGGATTCGAGCCGTGGCTCGAAAGCCGGTATAAAAGATTTTTGCCAACTCAAGGAGCTCGTAAATCTCGTCGGGAAACGCGTGGCGAGAATCGTTCGTCGACGGGAATACGATCGTTTGCGAATCTTACAAATAACGAGGTACCTAAGATCGCACATCGACTCGCATCTGTCCCAAGTCGCTTTTATCTAGACGAAAGTTTCAATAAATTATAAAGATTGTGTAGTGACATTTATCACATATCAGCGAGTAAAGAAAAAGAATTATGATGTATTATACACAGTGACGATTATGAATGTCTAAATAATAAGTTATTAATTTACATTTTTTTACATCGAGACATGTGTGAAAAGTCGGATTTATCTAATTTCCTTGTTTGGCGAATTTATGATGGAATAAGACTGGAGACTCCCAGTTAAAATGCAAATTTCGCTCCTGACATATATCGGAAATCTATGAAAAGTGCCAAAGAATAATGCGACTGTAATACATTGGAATAAGAATAGCCCGATGTCACCGCACAATTTAAAAATGCAACGAAATATCGATGAATATATTCAATTTTCACTACGAAATCATAAAATAGTATTAATCTTTTTCATCTCTATTTTAAATTTCAATGAATTTGACATCGAAATGCGGATAAAAATTTTAACGTCCTTTTCTTTTTTTAAGGCAGATTCGATATATCGACGAGCGTACTGCGAGATTAAGGGTAGAAGCGCATCGGAACTGTAAAGTAATATTTTTAGATGTGCATGGAAAAAGGGTGGAAACATCACAGTTACGCAGATCGCGACATTAGGCGGGTGCATTAACGTTCGCATTTGTAATTATTACGTTAATCGCGATTACTATCGCAGAGCCACGCTGTTTCGCGTTTGTCGCATTTTTGCGGTGTATTTGCGCAGTGCGATACGCTGTTAATTAGCCTTTCCAGTAAGCAAAAAAATACAGGTAAATTGGGAAAAATTGCGAGCGTAATGACGTCGCGCGGCGCGACGAGAATTCCTCGTCGATATTCGCGCAACGGAAACATCGGTCGCGCTATTTCCCCATGTTGTAATAAAAAAAAAATATATATATTTTTTTTTCTCTCGCTGCGACTCAGAGCTTATAGACAGAGCTGAAATGCGCTCCGCAAAAATCCCGTAAATTCCCTCGATTCAAAGAAATGCCGTAATACTATTTCGTACGATCTTACCCTCCAACCCTCGTAGAGAGAGGATGGAACAAAGTATCGGAAGTAAAATAAAGAAAGTGGCGCAGCAATAATAAGACCGCCGGTTAAAAATAAGAAGTACGGCCGAAATTAATTACGCCCTCGTCTAATCCCTTCGAGCGGCCTCTCCCTTTTAATTCTCGACGAACAAAAGAGTCGGCGTTTTAATACGCCACGGAGTCCTTGCCCGTATACACTATTACCTATTATAATCAACTTAAAAAAGCTCAGTCAAAGAAATGCCGTGATTTCTATCTGCGAGTCTTTTGCTTTAGAAAATTTGCAGCGATGTCTCGTACAACAACCAAACCGTACCGGAAAGTGAACAAAAACAATAGTTTGAAGATTACAGAAAAAAAAAAAGATAAAAATGATCGTCGAAAGGCAAGACGTTAATGAAAATATAATTAATTTGAGAGACTTTCTAGAGAAAAGAGGACAACGAGTGACGCTTCTAGATATATCGAAGGGATAACTCGTCGGCTACGACGAATCCTCCTTAACGCTTTCCATCGGCGTTTCCGAAAAGCCCGAGGCTCGGTTACTTATTGCGGCTGCGGCTGCATCCCGCCGTAGAGCGAGGCGGAGAGACGGGAAGAGGGGGAAGGGGGAGGGGGAGGGACGGAGAGGGAGGTTTGGACGCGGCGTGCCCGAGTAAATCACGGTGGATTTAAGTGGATCCTACAAACTCTCCCTCGCGCCGGGGCCACCCTCGGCGATGTATCGTCCTGGGTAGGGTCGTTGCGGCGCCGCCGCCACCGCAGCGCGGATATAACCGAGTAAGAGATTCAGAGGCGGGCGAGAGCGGCCGACGCACTCTCCTCGCCGAGCGGACGAGGTAACATCCGTTGCATCTTACGGCCGCGGCTTTACAACGAAACTTCGTCGACTCGCGCAAAGCTCACGGACATGGTGGCGGATTATTCGCCAAGGTCCTAGGGCCTGACACATAAAAGGGCCTCGGCATGAA